TAGCAGCCTATGACTATAGTTCAAGAAATAGCTCTAGTTTAACCCGATTATACCTTCGTGATAATCTTATAAGGCTACTATAAACTTAATAATAGTGCTAGATCCCGGTACACTAGAAAGATCGATGCTATAACTTTGATTCTTTGTTATTTAGGTCTTTTTAGAGAAGTTTTAGGCTAATTTGCTTCGCAGATTTGAGATGTTTAGTAGAGAATTAAACCTATATTCATTAATAATAATCTTATAAGTTAAACATATCAAAATCTTATAGCGGACATAAGTTACGTAAATATCTTATTAATGCCAGAAAAGTTGCTAGGCATATCTTAAAGAGGATTGTTAGAGGCATAAATAATATATAGGACACTATTGTTATCTATGTTAGGATATTTAGGGAGTAGAAGATGCTCCTAAACTTTATAAGCAGTCATAGTATCTCTATAATTAGTACTAATTATAGTTCTATTAGAAGATACGTCTGTTTGGCTTAGGCCTAACACAGATATAGAAGCTAAAGAACTATCATAATCCTTATTATCATAATAAGAACTAGCCTCGGATAACTAATAGTCATCGAGACAGTCCTTATATAGAGAGATATCAGAGTCTAATCTCGGAGCCTAGAATAAAGGATAGAATTAGCATATACGTAACATATCGCTAAGGTATAGCCTATAGTTAGAATATCGTAAAGGATACGATTAAGTTCTAATATAGCATAAGCCATATCCCCTATATCCCTTTCAATATCAGGACAGGGTTAAGGTAGTAGGGAAGGCGATTAGAGGAAGGAATTCGCCATGATAAAGTGGGACCTAGATGAAGTATGTAGCGTAAAGAATGCTTGTAAAGGCTTTGTAAAAGCATTGAAATAGGGGCGAATAAAAATTTTACACGCTAAAAATTGATTATATAAGGCAGGATTTCAGGTCCCGATCAGCTCTGGCACCTGATCGGGACCCGGTATTAGTCATCATTTAGCTGGTCCCGCTCAACTTTTAGCTGGTCCCGGTCAGCTAGGTGCCCATCGCGTGGACGATCCGTTGTCCTGATTTATTTCTCGCGGTCTGGATCGCCTGTAAGGCTAACCTACTATCACACAGAATCGTCGCTGTTGTTTGTTTGTCTGCCGTTCCTGATCGCTAGTGGGCTATCTTAAAGACTGTGCTTATAGCGTGGAAAATGCCTATAAGCTCCGCTACGTGGACCGACCAGCGGTCCATCGGTCCTACTTGGATCTGTTAGGCCTCTATGACCTCTAGGTTGTCGTCGAGTGCCACGACAGCGGCACCTAAGTGGTCCTGTCGGCCAGATGCATCTAAATAGACGATAATGTCGGATGTTGAGCCTACAGCCTCGGCTTTTCGTGTCGCGGTCTCTCGGTCAGTTCCGATCTCAATCTCAGCAAAGGGGTCGAGACGCCACGGTGGTAACGGTCGTGGATCGATGGTTTCTAATTCGTCTAGCCTTTCGAGGCTTATAGTCTTCAACGCTTCCGCTAGTGGGAAGCTGTAACGGCGTGGCTGATCCACGGGTTCAATTGTGCGTACTGAGTAGTATATGTATCGGTCCCAGGCATGTCAGCCTGACGGCTGACATAGTGGTCTTTTTGGCCTAGTTGGTGAGACGTGTATTGACCTGGGTGCACTCCATTACATTAGCCGAGGCGACCTTAGGTAGGACACTAAGAAGCAACGATGCTAATACTAGAGTGATATACATAGTGATATAGTGGTAAACAAGCGTAACTCTGCTACTTCCGAGCTCGAGAGCACGTAGGTCGATCTTATATACCTAATTTTGAGCAAAGGCCTAAAGAGCTCTCGAAGTAGGCCGTTTTTAAGTGCCGGTATTTAACCGCGGCCGAGCTAGTTCTATATTGTTAAGTATAGTAGTCGATCAAAAACAGCCGACTAAATAAAACTCCACGAGGCGTACTAGGGGCTTACGTGCCGGGGCCGCTGCCTATGGGTCCCCGTCGGTGGGGGCATCAAAAGTGTAATAGTTAGGGGCTCCGCTAGTGTTTCTAGCTGTACCGGTAATAATGTGGGGGCCATATTCTGTGGCCGTGGGGAATTGACGAGCATTCCGCTTAAAAGATACTCAGACATGCGGGGGATGTGTTGTAATTGTAGTTGGTGAAGAGATGAATCATGAAGATGGGAGGCCCGGGGAGGGGGAGCGGCCTATGAGGAATTCCACCGGTTCTTTCGAATCTTTTCCTTTCTTTCCTCGCAACCTTCTGGAATTCACCATGGAAGCGAAATCCTCTTCCTCTGCCGTATTGGCTCAACAAAAGCATACCTCGGACGACCCTCTGGGTCGCATATTGGACCCACTTGGGTTCTACAGACTTGTATTCCCCCTTTTCTAACTATCTCATGCTAGCTACTAAACCCCACCGTGGAGGTTCACACTTTGTGTTTTCGTATCTTTCTTTCTATTCACTTTCGTTTGTCGTCAATACGGTGAGGCAGATTCATGTCGTTATTACCGCCAGAACATGATGTCTGCCTTATCGCTCTTTCTCTTCATTTACGAGATATGGGCTCAGGGCGTCAAAAGCTTGGAGAATCTCATTGCCATATGACTAAGCAAACACGCCGCCCAAGACCAACCGGGTACAGCTTGAAAGCTTTGAGGTATTTTTGATAGAGGAAGATTAGTTATGTCTTAAAGAATAGACGGAGGCCTTAATGCGTCTATACGGGAATAGAGACTTATGATTGATATAAACGTACGACAGGTTTGCTATATGACGTTGTCTTCTCGATGTATACATAGGCCGTTAAATCTTCGTCGCATTTGGTCCCAATTATCTTCCGAAGGGGATTAAAATGTAGCATACTGAATCTCTTTTCAATCTCAGCCGTTATGTCATTTGTCTCTTAATATATATCTAGAAGAACTTGATGCCTCCCACTTGTGAGCAAGGCAGTCTGTTCCTTCTTTATTGTTAATTACCACTAGGTAAATAATTACCAGCATATGCATAGTTTCATGATAGATGTTAAGTTAAAAAATCGAAGTGGAACCTGCGATTTAGTCAAAAACACATCCAACCCGGCTAACATTACAAGCTGTACACGTTGGTCTTTATTAACTAAGCCGTAGGAATTGAACCTATTATCGCCTCTGAATAGACAATGGGGAGCATGAAGCCGTAGAGGCTTTGTCTCGATTAATTCTGGTGTATCGCTTTGGACGCACGAATAAGCAACTGGCTACTACTTATCAATATCAGCTCAGAAGCATATATGCTATATCTAAGTTGGTACAATATGCTAGTCTCCTAAACCAAAAAAAAGAAGAAAAAAGAAAAGCCGAGCAAATTCCTGTTAGGATTGTTGGGTAGGCCTTGGGAATACGAGGTCTCCGCGAGAACTGTTCTTTAAGGTTGACAATAGGAATTGTTTTTATTGTCTGAAACCACCTCCCACTATCTATTGTTTACTTATTGCACGTTTTATTCGTTTTGTGTTTTATTAAGAGGCACTCGTCTAGGTAATAATTCTACACTAGTGACTATATTTCTTCTTACCTTAATCACTACCCTAAATCGCGTCTATTATTAACACTTATTATACTCTAGAGATATCTTATTACGGTGGCGATCTAGATTTACTAGATCACTCTCGGTGTTTCTAAGCCTACGATTGTATATTTACTCCTACGGACCACGCCCTTAATTGCTAATCATAGATAGACGATTCCCTAGGTAGGAGACGGGCCCGATTACTTCTAAGGCTATAGCGCTAAAGTCCTTAGCTCGGTGAGTATATTGTCTCTTTTCTAGAATAATTTTCTTACGATAAAGACAGTATAGTGACGCGACTTCTTATGCGATTAACTGCCTTGCTATAGAAACTACCTGCTAGCCGTTTTCGCCCGATCTAACCGTTATTGCTAGACCTAGTAGTAAGTAACTACGCCAATTCGTGAGCCGAATAAGGTACTAAACTCTTGTCTAGCATATAATATGATTAGTAGCGGCTTTGCGTTTGATATAAAATCCGACTATTCGTTCACTGGCGATCTCACACCTTCCCTCGCGACTTATGTCTAAACACTCTTATACCATAATACTCCACTTATGACTATATCCTCGATTACTATCACCGGAATCGGCAATCCGAGCACCGGAATCTACCCTGCGATGTTGCGCATGACTAATACTAGAAAGCCTACCATAACCAACCAGCCTGCTATAACCGATTAGCCTACCGAGACTAAAAGCTCGGGCCTTACCTCTACGAGCATCTAAGACACCGTAACGACTAAATTCTTGACTACTACTAGGATTAGAACCTAAATCTTAACAGCCACTAGCATCTAGATTCCCCCTCGTCCTAGAAATTCAACTAGTTACTTAAACGGCACTAAGACAGTGACAGTGACGCTGACTATGACCGAGGCCCCCACCGCTGTTACTTGTAAGTGCGACTATAAGTACCCTACTCGTTCTTAGGCCGACAAAAGTGTGATTTCGAGCACCCCGCCTAATAATGCTATAGGAAAGTAGATAGCTATGTCGCTGATAGGCGCAATTCTCGCCGTTATTGTCTTCTGTATGTGACTCGCTTTATAGAAACGGATAAGACAAATTCCGACGTTCTAGTCTGCCTGTAGTAAGGTCAGAAGGATTTTCGTCAGAAGGAGACAGGAAGGGGCGAATAATAAGGAGATGATAGATATTCATGTATTGACAGACAGTCAAGAAGGGTCATCTTCTAGCTAGCAAATAATACTATCAAAAGCTGACCCTATGCTATATATACAGACATCAAATCGGTAGCTGTGTATATTTTTTTGCAGGGAATACATCTCTGAGATTCTCTGAAAGCCATAAGCTCTGTTACAATCATCGCAATGCATCAGTCTGCCAGGGAAAATTATTTCGACCACACCAAATCACTTATGGGCGGCATCATCTTCCCCATAACCCGAAGAAACATGGTCGCCGCCTGCTGAACAACGCAGTGAAGGAGGCCCCTACTAAACTACCGCAGTTTAAAGTACCCCCTGCACAGTCCGGTTGAGCTGAACACACCATTAGGGTCAATGCTCGCCTGGATTCTCCTGAGCCGCTGCAGACTTTCTTCCCCATACCCCGCAAATGGATCTTGCTCCTTACTTGCGTAGTTGATATAGCGCCAAGGGTGGTATTTGCCGGCATCTCTGGTGGCAGTCTCAGATCTCTGAACCCATCTGTTCAAAAAAGTAGTCATCGCGTGGTCATCGGCAATATCATTCCATAATGTGGTCAATAGGACGGCTACAGATTGTTAGAATCCGGAGTCTTGTTTCTGGAAGGCCGCCCTGGTCCTCTGGGCATACCTGTAAGTGGGCCATCGGCTTCTGTACCACCAGCACTCCCACCTCGCTGCTTTCCAGCGCGGATGGCGCCTTCATATAATGGCTGGATAACAAGGTTCGGGAAGAATCCTGGAGCTCCCTTGATGGACTGGATTTCATCGACCATAATATCCTGAATTTCCCGGTCCAGCTCCGCCGACGGACTATACGTCACGGTTGCAAACAGGTTTCTGCACCACTGGGGTTAGCCCGCAACACCTTTGTAGCGTGGTCCAAGCCCGGATAGGGGAGTGAGTCCTTACCGACCACCAGGAGGCGTTGCCGAAGCCACCTCCTTACTAAACTCGGTCAGCCAGTCGAACCGGAGAGTGCTCGATTCAGACGGGATTTGGTTGAGCTCCCGGAAGGCGGGCGGATCGAGTATCGGTTGGGCATATGTCTGTGTAATAGAAAGATCGTACACGTCGGCCTCCTGATCATAACCGAAGCTATAGTAGAAGGACATCGCGGTGTCGTTTTTCCAGCGGGTCGTCAGCTCGTAGGCCTGGTCTGTGATAGCGGTCCTCTGGTCTGCTTTGTAAGTCTTTTGCCCGGAGTACAGCTGCCCCTGTTCGACGGCTCTCATGGTAAAGTATGTCACTATGCCGAAATTGTTCATCCCCCCGCGAAGAGCAAAGTAGAGATTGGGGTGGACATGTTCATTCACAATTGCCACTGTGGCATTGGGGAGGACAATCTTTGATTGAGGAACACGTTAGTACCTTAGATGTCCAACTGCATGTATCTCAATAGTGGAAATGGAGTCTGTCCATACCTCATACTGAAAGACATTATCCTTCGCCAGGCCGTATAGGGGCGAGAGATGTGAGAACCCGCCTCCGAGAACAAATCCACCAATACCAACATCGCCGGCTCTGCCTCCAACTGTAGTCAGGTTATGTCTCCCGAGATCCGAGAACATGCTGTACAGAACATGGCCGGCACCTAGTCTGACAGACTTCCGATCCGGCGAAACCTCCGTGGACCTCATTCTTTGCAGGTCAATCGTGACACCTCCAACGGAGACAGAGTCATCGGGGTACCGCGCATGTCCGCCACTCTTGACAGCAAAATTACAAGACGTGTCTAGTATCACCCTCAGAATATCTGCCACATCGTCGGTAGATGTAGGCTGAACCCGGCAAGCGGACCGAACCTCTTGTTGTTTGGCATCCCAGACTTCAAGATTGCCATTTCCGGGGAAATGCGTACGGTAGTCAGTATTGCGAGCGAGGCGATAACACTGGCAATGGATTAGGAAGTCAGACAGGGCTGGTGTCAGGGGAAAGGAAACAAGCATACCGCCTTTATACAAGACGACGAATCTGTGGCGTCTTGCCTAGGCTCAACTGGTCGCAGCGCCGAGGCAGAAACAATCGCAGAGAGTGTGGCGATAAAGGCTGGCTTCATTATCAATATTTGTCCCTGAAGCAGTAATATCTATTGAAAAGTCTTTGATACTTCGATGAGGTACTTATATTTATCTGCGCCGGCGACAGCTTCCCTGGTAGGGAGTTCCATTGGTTTACTCCCCAGGTGACATTACCTTGTTTGCTGATCAACATTTGTTAATGTAGGCTTCTGCAGCATGCTTACTGGAAAGATCCCATTCGCTCTGTGCCTGCTGTTGACGTCAGCTTATATGCCCATGCTACTTATAGTGGCTTCATATGCTAGTATACGTGTTGTCGATCCACAGTGGGGCCCCAAGATACCTGTGCGCAGAACGTCCTGTAGATGTAGATCTTAATCTGTTTTTTTCCTTTGCCAAGTATTGGATCAGTATAAAGTTGCGACTGCGAGATTCCTAGGGGTTCGATTTCACCAGCATAAAAATTGGATTTCGTCTGTCTTCAGAATGGCTGGTCACATAGCGTTCTTCATTGCCACTCTACTACTACTTGCCTCGGTTGGAACGTCTTTCAATCTCAATTCTCCCAATCTTCGTAAAGTCTATCAATTCCCCAATGGCACTTGGGTCGAGAATATCGCTGTTCGGGCTAATGGTAACCTCCTAGTAACTCTGGTGAACGTGCCAGAAGTTTGGGAGGTTATGCCATCTGCCAAGCCTGGAGGCAGCGAGGCTCGTCTCGTTCATCATTTTACCAGTGAAGCAATGGCCACGGGCATCGCTGAGCTCTCGCCAGATGTATTTGCCGTCATAACTCCAAATTCCGTTTGGAGGGTGAATTTGAATGAGGGCTGCGAAGAAAGTCCGGTTCGATTAGCAACACTTCCCGCCGGAAATCTCAACGGTATGGCAACATTGGACCATGAGACCGGAAGAGTCGCGATCTCAGATTCCGAGGCTGGCCTCGTATGGGGACTGGATACTCAGACTCGAAATTTCTCGGTTATCCTCAGGGACGAGACCATGGCGGCGAATACAAAAGAGGGTCCTCTGCTGGGGATCAACGGCTTGAAAGTGCATAGTGGGTATGTCTACTACGTCAATACCCCGGAACGCATCTTCTGTCGCATACCGATAAACACAACGACTGGCCATGCGCTTGGTCCGCGTGAAGTCATCACCCAAGGTGTGCTGGCGGACGACTTTGCGATTAGCCCACAAGGTGTTGCGTACCTTGCGGGACTGAGGGATAACATTATGACCCGCGTCTTCATGAATGGGACCCGGGAGGTGGTTGCAGGGCACCGGAATTCGACTACACTGATGTCTGCCACTTCGGCTGGGTTCGGACGGAAACTCGGTGCTGGAACTGTGTACATAACGACTGGGGGGAAACAAACCATCCTGTCAACAATACTAAATCAAGGGGAGGGAAAGTGATGGAACTTCGTCTTGATGTGTAAGGAAGCTAGAGCGGATCACTGTGGGAAGGGCTGTACGTCGGGGTTTGTTTTTTAAACTAGGCCTGAGAAGCCATCTTACGCGCAGTTACATGGAGATTGACGTTGCTTTGGTGTACGAATTAGAAGTACAGTCAGACCGCAAAAGTAATGGCAACCCTATCGAAGTTCTGCCAGCAATACGATCCTCGACCAGTAGAAGCTTGGTTTCAGCGCGGTATACCCATGTTAGAAGGCGGTACGTACATGGGTGTTAAAACCTTTGCTGCGTCACCGTACAGAGTGATTCCAGGCCCTGCAAGTACTATACCTAGGTATACCTACCAGATCTATACGTCCATTTTTGCCAAGAAGATGACAGGGCCGGAGTTAAGAAACGCCAAGACCATTCCTCTGCCATTCGCCACCCCCTGTTCCCTCCAATTGGCTCGCAATGGGCCAATCGCGGCCACGGTGTAAGCATCCGGCGCACAAATTTACCTAAGAACCATTTCCCTCATCTTCTTCCACAGACATAGTTTACATACTCAGGTGGTCGCATTATTCCTGCTTTGCTTAAAACCCATCCCCAACCTGCAGCGAATTTCGCAGCAGACAGCAACCGTTACCCACGTGGATGACTGGTAGGGCTCCGAAAAGATAAATGATGCGAATATAGTGCATATTCATATTCGCATTCATATTATTTATGTCATGCAGTTTGCGCACATTAATAGTTCTTCCGTTTCCCGGCTACATGTTTCCAGTAGTCAACTTATACAGTGGTCCTAGAGTAGTAGTATGAGTTCGGGAGATAGAGTCTATCGGCAAATGTATGCGCAGGCGTAATAAGAGAGTAACAAGAGACTAATTGCTGGTCCTTCCTGCGAACGCCAGCGAGAGCAATAAATACATGTTGCGCTTAAGTAATGAGCTAAGCGATATGCACGACCGTCATGGTCCATGCGTGCGCTCAGCTATCCTGGCACTGCGAGGGCCAAGGCTTGCTATATACCCTCAGGCAGCCTTATGCATCTGGCAGGTCAGGGTCCTGGCAGGTAGCCCCTCGAGTAAGCGCTCTATAGCACAACGAGCATATATTCTAGGTGTGTTTATGCTAGCTATAGCGATCTAGAGCACCACCTAGATGTAAAAGCAACGGATCTGCAGTTATATAATGCTTATAATTATCATGCAAGAAGCCGATTACATTTTGTAAAGCGTTATCGGCATCGGGGAACTGTGCGTCTATGATCCTTTGCCTTTTAGTATGGTGTCATAGATACGACAAAAGGCGGCGTGTCGCATGCGAGGCGGATAAAATAGGTCCTAGAAAGCCATCCCTCGCTATATCAATAGGATCTATAGAGACCCTTTCGGCCTCGGTAGATAGGGGCGGGCCAGTACGGTATTTAAATAGCAGCGCATTCTAGCGATAGCTATCGCGCGTTTTATACCGTGTAGACTGCTAAGGCGAGGGCATTAAGAGTATTATGTACGCTAAGAAGATAAGACTGGATTTGTATACGGTAGCTAGGATTGTATAAAAGGGGAACTGGACACTTTAACGGTCGTAAGTAGATAGTAACGGCGCTAGTGGCGGTGTCTTTCTAGCGATAAGCATCGCATATTTTATATAGGGACGGCTGCTAAGGTCGCTTAAATGACGAGCATTACAAACTATATATAGGACGTGGCTATAGGATAGGAGCAAATTAAAAATAAAAGGAAATCTATAGGAGGAAAAATTGAATAGCGAAGGAAATCTTTAGCGTAAGTAAGTGGGCTCTAATAGTATATTAAGGTGAGAACCAGAGAACGATAAACCTATCTAGTAGGAGGGAGAAGAACGAAATAAGCAAGGGCAAGGAATAGGCGAATAGCAAAAGAGAGTAGTAGAATAACATAGCGAGAAGGCATCACGGGAATTAGCGGGTGATTACAATAGCGGAGGGGTACTTAATATAATGCACTAGGATAATTCCTATAAACCAGGTAGGACAAAAAACTAGGGGAAACATATACACACGAGAGAGGAACCGGAAACAGATAAAAAGAGCATATAATGAAGAATCCAACTAAACACGAATAAGAGAGAGGCTTAGCGCAAAAATTGGCTGCATGTCTCGCCGCGTTAGCTGCTAGCGTTAAGAAAGCTAGGGTCACATAGGTCTAGGGTTAACAACCCCTTCCACTACGTTCCTTCGTTTTAAAGCATACCAACTAACCGACAGTAAATGACTTATATTACTCTTAAAGGATCAATCCTAGGCATTATAAACGAAATTCTTATAACTAGACTAAGATTCAGAACTACCGCAAAGTCTATTCTATAACGGTAATATAATGCAGCCCGTAAATTATTCGGTCTTACGTCATAAATGACGAACAAAGCAGGGGAAATGGTTGTCTCGGATGCTCCTCTTCCTTAGTTATTGGTAGAATCTTAGTCTCTCGGTAGGACAGGCAAAATCTTGCCGGCCGTAGGTGAGTAGCGTAAAGATACTGGAATATTCCGCACCATTCTTTCCCCTATCTTACTCCTTAAAATTAACTTTGGCTCGGATTGACCGGCATTACTGGCATAAGTCGATCCTATCTTCTCCCAAATATTACAGACCCACGGGTAATGTCAAGTTGGCTGTTGATAAAGCGGCACTTTAAGCTGCTCGTCCATTTTTAAGCTAATAAATATGTGGGCTACCCTCACGTCAACCATATCCTCTTGATGGTAAGTGAATTGTGCGACAAGCGTAACTTTGCTTTTGCCTTGCGCAACTTGCAGTCGCCATATGAATCACTCGTTTGAGCTAGTCCATCGACAATACCAACGTCCCGTTTAACAACGATTTATCAGAGCTTGCGCCAATATAAATGAGGTACTCGGTTCCAATGATAAGTTTCCATTTCTGGGAAACGACATCCCATATGCTGAGGTCACGCCGCCTTAGCCTGAAGTCGACGGTTCTGGTCTCGCCAGGTGGGATTATGATCTTGTTAAAACCTCGCAGTTGTTTAACGGGCTGGCCTATGGCAGGAATGTGAACGTAGAGCTGTGCAATTTCCGCAGCCTCCATTTTGCCGGAATTTGTAAGATCTGCCGTCACAACGGCGACGGTGTCCCAGAGGTCTGCGCTACCACCTGGTATTATGGGACCAACAGGATACTCTGATAGATTGTTTGACTTGACATTTTGACGAACGCGGAGGTTAGAATACTCAAACGTCGTATACGTCATGCCGAACCCGAATTCAAAACGGGGTGTGATCTTCTTCGCGTCAAATGCACGGTAGTCAATGAAAACGCCCTCGGTGAAATTGTCCTGGGGAAAGTATCGGTCCCAACCCGTGTATGTCACCGGGGCAAGGATCGACCCGTAGTCTGACTCATTGCGAGGCAGGGTGTAAGGAAGCTTCCCGCTTGGGCTTACATCGCCATAGAGGATCTGAGTGATGGCCTCTCCAGAATCCTGACCAGGAAGATGTGCGAAGATGACAGCTGTGACGTTTGGATGCTCGATCCATTGGTCGACCAGGCGGACACCTGCATTATGAATGACGACGATGGTGTTGTTGCACCGCGATGCGATGTCGATAATTAATCCATCCGAATAATCATCTCGAAGGGCCGGTCGATCTACACCTTCAGAGGAGGCCGCGTTGATAAAAACGAGGCAGGCGTCTGTTTCCGAGTTGGTAGGCTCCGTGCCATCAAAGTCCCAGAACAATTGCGATTTGTCGCGGTGTGCCCGTGCCTGGAGTGCCTGAAAAGGGCTGCTGATATAGACAGGGGTAACTGCGCCAGAGCCACCACCACTGATGATTGTCCCATTGGCAGCAATAGGTGGGAATGGAGGACACTGGCCGCCGATAGATGCAAAGCCACAGATAACAGACCGGTAATTGTGTGACTGAAGGCCCAATGACCAGCCATTCATCCCAGCCTTAGCATTGTTGGTATCGGGTGTTTTGGCATCATATCCATAGAGTGAAAGTATACGTGGTGTGGTCAACGGCAATGCATTATTGATGTTCTTGACCAGAACATGCCCTTGGATGGCACCTTCGAGAATGAGGCCCGCATCGTCCGGATTCCGGGCATCAATGATTGGGTGCCTCTTTTCAAAATCCGAGGCAAGGCCTACTCCGACCGAAGGAAGACTTGGGTCATCCTGATGGGAAAAGTACCAGGCTGCCATTATTCTGGTAACCATGTTGTCAATATGAGACGCTGGTACAGAGCCATTGCGCACCGCTTCGGCCAGGCTAGCGCCCCAATATTCTCGCCCGTAGGGCATAGCCATATCCAAACCAGCCAAGGCGCTTGCAATGCCAGTATGCTGGGCACTCCAGTCGCTCATTACAAAGCCTTGGAAACCGAGTTCTGTTTTTAGGAGACCGTTCAGAGCTTTGCTATTATGGCAGGAATAACTGTTGTTGAGCCGCTGATAAGCGCACACTGTGGTTATATATGGTCATTACCCGATACAGTGTCCGAAAACAAATCGCGTATAACTTACTGACACTTGCAGCCCCGGCGTGAACAACATCTGCAAACGGCCACATGTAGAGCTCGTGCATTGTTCTGTCGTCTATGTTGGAGGAAGAGGCTTCAACAGTCTTGTTCGTGTGTTTGTCCAAATGTGGGTTTCTATGTAGTTCTTGCTCGTTGCCCACGAAGTGCTAAAACGTGTTAGATTTTATCTGGCGAGTATTTAGAATTTGTGACTAACCTTTGCACATGAAATGACACCGTTGTTCTGCACGCCTCTGACAGCCTCCGCTCCCAAAATACCACTGAGATATGGGTCGTTGCTGTAACCTTCCCAGTTTCGTCCCCCAAAAGCAATTCGCCCTAGCGGGCCAATCACCGGGGGACCCAAGGCCAAAGTTGCACCTTTCCTTCTGAATTCGCCTCCAATAGCATACGCTTGGTGATAAGCGAGACTTTTGTTCCAGCTGGTGACATGTTATTAATTTGTTCTTTCATCCTCTTCAGTGAAATTCATACCTCGCACCAAGATGAATGCCAGATGGATAGCCATTCACAAGCTCCGTTCCTTTGATACCATTGGGACCATCCTGCAGACACATGCCAGGAAACCCTAGGCGACTGATAGCTGGAATATTGCCTCCGCAGCCGCTTGTGCTGTTCTGGATGCCTCCGGTGAGACTGACCTTCTCTTCCAGAGTCATCTGTGACACTAAAATTTGCGCTTTAGATGACGCGTCCCCCCAGTCTCCGACTCCTGTCATCTCCGGTGTGGGATAAATTGGAGGGCTCTGGCCATAGAAATATGTATCATCATGGACAACAGCATGTGACGCAGCAGCAACAGCTTTGGGTAGCAGAAAGGCAACATATGCCGCTGCTTCTCTGAGACGAACCATTTTGCCAATGCAGTTCGACAAATATTTGCACAGAATAGACTGACCTCCATTGAGGGAATGATCACTATTTATACCTTGGCCCTTCACGAACGGCTGGGCTTCGAAACTCTCCAAAGAGTTTTGTCGTCCGCCTTTACCCCATAGATATTGATTTGTCCAAAAAGTCTGAGCGTCGGCTAATCTGGGGATCTATTCCTTTTACACTGCTATATTTTGTGGACCGTAAGCCCGATTGTGGAGAAATCGCGGAGACGAGCATGCCAGACGCTGCGGGGGTATATCATACTCCTCCGGCAAACGTGAGGTATTTGGATCCACAATGAACTTGATTGGTCTCGTAGCTTGCTTAGGTATTTCCCATGGACTGGGTAACTCACGTGTAGGCGTATTGCGATTGAAGGACAAGATCTCATTTACTTTACTCCTCTGAAACCCCTGTTTTCTGCTAACTACGGTTGTAATCTCTCTTCAGTTGGAAGAAAACGCTGTTAATGGATAGAATTTGGGGCAGGTTTCGGCTCGATTCAATGGCCTCCTCGGATTAGCTTCGATTCGCGGAGAACTCTACATTTTCTTAAGCTAGACGGCGAAATGCAACGGATGGATACTTATTTTGACCGACATTACCAATGAGGATGAATGCCCACTGTTTAAGCTCGGCTGTTGACGCTAATGCAAGTTGCTTACACCACCTGTCCCCAGAATGAAGGGTGAGATCAAATTTAATCCGAAACACTTTCGACCACGGAACGTTCACGATCAATTTTCGAGCAAGCCACCTTAAGATGAGGATGAAGAGTAAAATGCTTTAGTATAGTCCCGTATCCTGCCACGTGTAATTACATTCTACGCTTTGACCGTTGGACGGTAAACCTTGATCACCGTACCATGAGGCGGCACAACACTGATGACATAATACTCCGGCTTTCACTTTGATGCGGTGCTCAATAACCTATCCGCGCTAAAACCGTGGCGGTGGGAGCAGAGAAGAGTTATACAGCATGTATCGGTCAAAAAATTTCGAGAATGACTATATCCAGTCAAGGGTTTATTGTTGGTCTTCTTCCACGCAAGGGATTAGGTTGGATGTATCAATTGAAGAATGACGAGGACCAAACCTACTTGTAAGTGAGGCTATATGTCCCTGTAAAGGAGAAGTAAGATATTTCATAAGTGAGAGATACACAAAGGACTGAAAAATAAAGGTGGAGGAGTATGATCAGTATCTCAACCATACTGTGAGGGTAGCTTTTTCGAGCATTTTCCGGTCTAACCACGCTCCTTTTGCTTGTCTGATAGCTGTATATCACATACCATGAAACCAAAAAAGGAAGAACACAAAACAAAACCCTCACATCTCGGCAGGACACTAGATTAATCAATAAATCCTCAGATCATCGTTCCTAATTCCACCTGCAAGAACAGTAAACAGTAACTACCCCAACTGGACCCTAGTGCTCTTCATTCCGCATGCACGCCAATAGTATCTTGAAGTAGCCCCTGCAAAGTCCGATTGAAAAAAAAAAAAAAAACACCATGTGGGTCAATAGTTTGCTGGGTTTATGCGGTACGCTTACATTTCGAATGTCATTGGTCTATGAGCGTGTGTGGGGCTTTCTGAAGTGTAGAAGTCGCTGACAATGCGGGCTACACAACCAAAGTCGAGATTTTTGCCGATATTAAACACGGGTTTTGGTGGTGTTGTTTGGCCATCATGACACACTCTACTACTTACTCAACTCTCCAGCAATCTAACTATCTTACAAATTCTATGAGAGCTGAGGTCCACGTGAGAATTTTCCCTCAACGATGTTGTGCTTGGGTTCCTTAACGGAAAATGAGTGCTGTCTGAGTATTTAGACAGCGTCAGCTCAATGCTGCACTGATGGCTCAATTCCACAATGCTGCCCTCAAATCATGCTCGATGGTCTGGTATTTTGGCCACTGTAACTTAAGACATATATCCATTCCCTAGTTCATAAATAGCGTAAATCCATCGTTGCAAACCTCACTAAATTATTGGGGGAAAATGCCAGTAAAAGTCCTTTTGTCTAGGCAATGTTTTGGCAGTATGCCTTTAGCGACTTAACAATGTCTCTGTAAGTTTCACTGTCCATAGCTGATTCTGACCCAGAATCACTAGTATATCCCCAGCAAGCGCAAATTGCACAATTGCTGTACTTGTAGGATCTCTAGTAAAGTATTGAGCATTGAAGAGTCCGATGATCCTCCCATCAGCTGCTCGCACCACGATTCCTTCTCCCTCACCAGTCCACACTCTCCCCCGATCATCTATCCGTATACCATCGGGCGCTTGCATTCTCGAGATTCCGAAGATACGCTTATTCACAGGCCACATGTCCTCGTCGAGCCTATACTTGTATATCGCTGGTGCTCCAACTTCAGCCGGCAGACCCCAGGTCCTACTGCGTTCCGCACCACCAAAATCCGTCACCCAAAGCGTCTTCTGATCCTTTGAAAATCTGACTCCATTTGCAACGGGCAACTCGGTCCTGCTAATTGCCGGCAGCAGAAGTTTTGTTTGCGGATCCCAGCGCCATAGACCCTGAGGTAGAGTATCATTTGTCCCGGTGCCGAAGGTTTCGGGGTATGGCAGAATGGTGATGAACATGAAGGAGTTGTTGGTACCGGGTTGTGTGACCCAGGCCACATCATCGATATTGTCAAACTTGAGACCGAAGTATGAGTTGAGGATTCTCTCGACGTCACCCGTTTCCGGATCAACGGATACAACTCCGCCTGGCCAGCCTCGAGATTCGTCGCGCAGGCAGGTAAAATATACCCGACCCTGGTGATAGTATCCTCCGTTGGGATTCTCCAAAGGCATTGAAGAAGTTAAGTTCCGGATGCTGTTGTCTACCAGGTCTAAAATTTCCACCCTGGTGGGCCCATCGTTGATCCAAGTCGTATACCAGACCTCGTTGCGCTCGCTAATCCAGACGCCTGCCTCGGCAGCGAAGTTGACTTCGCGCTCATCTATCAATTCCACGGAAGGGTTTGGGCCGAGGAGCGCGAGGAATTCGTCGTCATACGAGATGAAGGGTGCGTGCATCGCGGACTTGAGCAGGGTATTGACGGACGGGTCCGACGTAGTGGTACCATTTACGAAGCTATAGGAAATGTCTCCGTTGAAGCGTGAGGGGAGTAGGTATGTGAGCTCATACGGGATTGAGATGATGCTGTCCTTCTGAGCATGGCATGTTTGCAGGAGGAAGTAGAGTAGAAAATGATAGTGAAAAAGATGGGCCATATTGCAAGTTCGCCTAATATTGACAACGTTGGAAGAACACGTTTTACAGGCAGCCAGCATACATTATATACCGTGGGGCGGATAGTCTCACGCTTGTAAGGTGGAAATGCGGAGACTCACTTCAACCGAAGATTTCCCGTGCCAACAGTGGTGGCCCCAAGGAATCGTTGATGTGGGGTTCCTGATCGTTATCGCCCTCGCACAACCGTACTAACCTCCAGACACAGGTTTTGCCTCGCCTGTCTGCCACCATTCCATTACGAAAATTGATTTGTTAAAAAATTCCAAATTAGATATTTGCCAAGCCACTTTAAGAGTGGATCAATCACGAAATTGGGGGGCGTGTGAGAGAAAAAGAGAGAGAGAGAGAGAGAGAGAGGAGAAGAAGAGAGGGAGAGAGCCAGAAATAAAAAAAAGCACATTTTTTGGCGCCTTCTCTATTGACCAACCCTTGTCCTTGTGATTTTTTTCAGTATCTCTCGCTCGGCTGTGGGTCGAAGAAACAAATGGCCTCTTATCTTCGATGGCCACAGAACATTCCTATAGCTTTCCTATTGCTCCTCAATATCCTCCGTTTTAACAGCGTAGGTAAGTGAATTTCCACGTCGTTATCCACGGTATTCAACGGGACCCAGTTATCGCATGATAGACCGTCTTAAGCATCCAAAAGTATACCTTCCCACGTATCGAAAAGCCCTAGATAACGGATAAACCCCGGTCGATCGTGGCTCCAATCCGACGAGTACCAAGATGAGAGAATCAGTTCGATAATTTGCGGTGGTCTTAAGAATTGAATAACGCCTCGTACAAAGAAGCCCCAATTCCCGACTTCGGTTTCGTCCTAGTCGAGATATTTCTCTCTGACTAGGTCACCTTCACCTTCAATCCAAGAGGGGACGCTAGCGATATAGAAAGCCTTCCGTCCGAGAAAGCCCTATACGAAGTCAACTATCTCAATGATGTCTATCTTCTCTTTAAGCGGCCTCCCCGGGTTATTGCTCTACACTTCAACGACAGACTCAAATGCGCTATCAAACTTTTGGGCATTTGGCCACACCTAAGTTCTGACTTTCTAGAGGGTTTCAATGGCAACCTAGTGTGTAGTCAATGCCTTGTAGAATCGTTTATAGGCGCTTTTTCTGTCCTCTGGAATCATTGCATTTGTACATAGGCTAGGAATCTAGGATGGCTTCGGCAAATCCCCTTCGCTAGCCGATTCTTCCGTTCTGTCTAGCATACCTAAACCGGTTGAATATAAAAAGACCGAGTTCATATAAGATTTCCTTATTGCCGTATCAACGTAAAGATCAAAAATCAGACGTAGCCCTTGCCATCGGCATACTACATCCTAACAACTCTATCGGATATGACTTCCCCGTATTCCAGTGGTTTTAACATATTAAGATACTATCTACGGCGGTCGGGATTTGCTGGAATAGATAGCTTGCTGTAAAATTCAGATGAGAAATCGCCATACATGTGAATAGACTGATTGGGGGCAAGATCGTAGTGATGTTGTGGGGCGTGTGTCTATTACATTGTCAGACACTCGGCAGTTCGTCAATGAAAGTCGTCGACCATACAATTATAGATCTAAAAATCTTTAACGAATGCTCGGCGCGTCAAAAACAGAATGGATAAATTTGCAGCATCAAGCAAGATGCAAGACGTCGTCTATGTTATCAAGAGACTCAAATACCTAGACGACCATCTCCGGGGGCAGGTCGAGAAGCCGGCACATCTTGTGGGAACCGAATTACGGTGAGAGCTAAAACGACTTTTTGTGCTTCTCAAATAATCTTGGCCCCCAAAACCACTACGACCGCCCTAGCCCGAAGTGGCCAATTTCGTCGCGTCGTTGGTGATCAATACGGTCGCCATGGTTTCAAAGAGAAGGGAAGGAGTGGGGAAGGTGATGAAACCGAATTCGAAGAAATAGGCTAGAGTGCTGAGATTGTTGTTACTCTAGGGCCAGCCTCAATAGTAGATTCGCTTGAGTGGAATTGTTAAAGGGACATTGGGTCAGCTGCCGCGGGACCTGACTACTTTACCATATCCCAGGCGCACGCAAGAATTTCGTTTCATTTCACAAGAGGATTCCCCTATGACCTCGATCTGCAATAATCCATGTCCCTTGTTCCCAAAATGTCTGCTCGTCTACTCTCTCAATTAATTTTCCGCATTTTGCTTCTTCTCGGCTCCATTCCCCGCCTCAGCCAAAAAGAAATAAAGGAAGAATATGAGTTTACCTTGCACCACCTTGAGTAGCTAATCAACTAATTAAAGGCCGTCAGTGGCCTAAACTTGTGACGGATTAATGCGGAAGATCTTTATCCCGATTTCGTAGGCCGCTTACGATATCCCCAAATTCTTATGGTGTCAGTCTTCGGTTGTGAGATGGTGACCACCCTTTTTAACGAAATGACCGCCGGTGAAACCTGCCAACCTGTTGAGAATAAAGTAAATAACTTCATTTCTCAAATTCATGATAGTGGTCTAAACCCTCTCAGACTTGCCAATATCTCCATCTCTGAATTCTATACCGAATTGAGGAACTATTTGTCGGTGATCAATAACGGCGGCCCTTGGCCGTGGAGAATATCTAGCTAGCATCGGGCTAAGCAAGAACTTGGAGAGCCTTTTCTCGACTACAACACCGTTCGTCAGGGAAGGCCCACCTATGACCTGGGCGAAGCTTGTTCTCTTTGTAGGTCCTTATTATGAGGGTCTAGCGCAGCTTAAGGTTGGTGACTCTAGCGTCGAGCTGTCAAAGGATGACTTCAAACTCCTACACTCCGGTAGACCTTAGCGGTTTCTCTCTCCTTGGCCCGATAAAGACGATTGCATAAAGGAGCTTGAATCCAGCAAGATGGCACTACACGAGCTTGCTGATTCTCGGAAAACGATAAGTAAAGGTAAGCTCCTTAAGGATTGATCCCTTAGTTTTATATTTGAATCTGAAATTAAGGAATATAGTTTTGGAACAAATCTCGCTTGTTAAGCAGTGTCTCCGAAACCATCACGATTTAGTCTCTCGGCTCTCTAAGAATCAGAATCACATCACGCCGAAGGCGATTGACCTGCTATTTGATAATGCTTATTCCTCTCTTACAACTTAAGGTGTTTCTGACGTATATGCCTCGACAATAGATAGAAACTTAGGCGGCCGAGATTCACTATCTGCCCCTACTACTATCCGCTACGCTAGAAATAAGGGATTAGCTTAGCTAGTTAGTATAGAACCAAATGAACTAGCTCTACCGGTTATTGCTATTATGAGGAACAATTCTTAACGGGATAGTTTACAACCTAGGAGCGACACAAGACCGGGATACAGATTATATACATCCGACTTCATCCAAAGCCTAAGCGAGTAAGTGAAGCAACGACTAAAACATTAACTTGTCGATTAACATATAAAAGTGTTCTTGATAATCTAAAGAATGGCGAAGCATTGCGCTAGTCGGAAGATAGGCAATCTATTTTTAATGCCCTAGAAAGCACGTTCCCGGCCTATTTGCTCCTAAGGCTCAATACAAAAAGCTACCAATCGCTCGTTCGGCGGCTATACTACTATAGATTCTACAAAGCCGGGGGTGCCTATCATTATGATTCCTTTCTTCGCGGCTAGCCTAGCTCTATTCGACCGGCTCGGGAGACGAGCAGCAGCCCTTCACTTCCTTCCTCCCTGCGCAAAAGCGCTTCTTAACGTGGGCCTCGGTACAAAGTGATCAAACGAAGGCAGACAAAAGATGTTTGATATAAACAAACCATAGATTCAAAGAGAACATATAGCCAATTTGAGTTCTTTGTCAAGACTGCTAAAAAATACCTCCGATGTTGTTGCTTGTTTCCTAGTCTGCACTAGTTTCGCATTATAACAATTAGCTTTTTCAACAAGACAAGCTAGTGCTAAGGATATGCTTAGCTTCCTACGCGTAGGTGCATCTATTATTAATGTTTGCATCAGAGAAGCTAGCAGACTATATCATGATTCCGCCAAAGGCAGTATCGCCCTTATGCTGATTGACAAGGGAGGCGAGATCACTCGGTGCGAGGTAGTATTGCGAGCCACTCTAGGTGCCCGTGGCTCTAAGCGGAGATGCTAGTACGCTAATAAAGACCTTAGCATTAACAGAGGGAGTGTTCGCGATATTGGACACCCACTAATCGTAATTGATTGCCTTGTTGACAGAGCAGCTAGGATTATTATAGAATTGAACCTATAAGTAGTCAAATTGGGCCGCGGTGACGACCTCTTGTATATTAGGATCTAGGATAAAACACTGCGGTGTAGCAGTTATATAATAAGTACTAGAGGAGTTAGATGCGAAATTAGAGCGTAATTTGCTAATTAGATACTAATAGTACTAGTTGCCACTATTACGTTCAAGGTCGAAGTCCTAGCCGTTGACGAAGGTGCTACCGAAGGGTCGGTGTGAAGAAGTAGGGGTTCTAGTGTTTACAGGATAGAGCCTGTCAACTAGGTAAGATGAAGATGCCTGGAAGCGAACAATATATTGGAGGAATACAGAGACTGATTCTTGGAGAACCGCTGGGTTCTCCGGAGCAGATTATTTAACATGGGGGATCAGCGTTACGGTGAGCCAACACTGACGTGTCGACACCTATATGGTGTCGATCCTCTGGGAGTGCGAGAGATCTGTGCATGGCGTCTGAGGATTCCGTTACAGTCGGGGGATATTGCTTCCGTCCGTATTGCTATACGCTTCCCATAGATTCTGTCCGATGATCTCGGCTTCTTGTTAGGATAAGAGCGAGTAGTTGCCTACTACACCACCTAAGGACAATATCACCTTAATCCTATTTAACTGACATTGCTGGATAGCCGCGGCTAGGGTGTCATATTGCCGAGGCTCGCTAGACGCTGATATAGAGCATAACTAGCCAATTGAGCTAGATAGAATGGTCTGACTATTTCTATACTAGTTCAAGAAGGCGAGTACAATGATATCTATATCGGATTCTGACTTATAGTAGGTGGCTAAGTCATTATTCTTAACAGCGCTGGCACCGTTCTAACCCTAGTAGATAACATTCTAAGTGTCGGACCTAACGGGGGTAAGCGAAGAAGATATTTCTGAGGTGCTCGCACTTAAACCTATTGTAGTAACTAGGGATAGACTCATTACCGTAAGCGTATTAGCTATAGAAAACGATAACTTAGACGAGGACTCTAGAGCTAGACAAATGCAGCCGGGTAAGGATTCCGGGTAAGAGTGGGATTTCCGGTTCAAAGGCACACTCCTAGACCCTTTCGTAGGATGTTTTGTGTTTTTAATCGATATTGAAAATTCGCTACGAAGAAATTCTGAGCCCTTCATACCTTCGCAACTATTAGTCATTGGTTCTTTACTAGGTTCTTATACCTACAATCCATGAGAGCTGTCTCTAGATTGTCTGCGCAATTCTCGGAAAGCAGAAGCGATCTCTTATGACCGTCCCAAAAAGACTGCACTGAGCTCATCACATCCTTAGACCTTTTCTAACTATTGAGCAAGCTACAAAGATCTTTAGTGGATCGCGATATCTAAAGGTTGGCACGGACTAAGGCGGCTAACGCTAGAAACAACAGCCGGGGAGTTATATAGAGGAATAGGTGTGTGAATGTGTAGAAGCTTGCTTTAGCTTAGACAGTCGATAGCCTATTAGAAACCATCCCTTTTTCATATATTTACTTTGGTTAGCCGAGGGGGGTGTTCAGGCTTTATATCTTTCGCTGCTAGGATGAAAAACACCGGGCATCCATTCAGATATACCACAGCACCATAGTCTTTAACCAACGCAATATTCACTCGTTACTAGTGTTCAATACCCTGAAGCTCACTTTACTGCGGTCACCATGATACTTTTTATTCTCTTTTTTGATTTTTTTTTTGGCCCGTCTTGACAAAGATTAATGCGAAATAATTCCGAGCTGGCCGTGGAATTGAGTTGTGCCTACCTGTCCGTGGGTAAAAAGTGCTCAGAGCTATTGGGAAAGAGCTAAGTGCCTCTAGATCCAAAAATTCGTATATCGTGGTCCAACATATATAAGAGCCATGAATTCGTACAATTAGGGAAATAAGGCGTGAAATGAAATTTTCTTTCGTACACTGCATACAGTACATCCGTGCATTGCTTTCGTATCATCAATAACATACCCTAAGCTTTGGCATAGTCAATCCGTATGGTGAGCAATTCGCAAAGTGAGCAATTCGCGTAGTGAGCAATTCGCGTAGTGAGCAATTCACATAGTCAACCCGCATAGTGCGCAATACGCGTAGTGAGGAATACACGTACATAGTGGTTATTTGATTGCTTTCATTTTTCCTTAGCTTACCTATATGCTGAATAAGTAACGTTATCATACAAGACGAAACCAAAACGTTACAATACATTACTTATAGAATATTACATAGAAACAAATGTAGCGGTGTAGGCCCTAGTAATAGTATTCAAATTTCTCTAACCAGACCTTATAATAGGCTTCCTTTCCTATTACGCCAATCTATGTCTTAGAACATATAGTTATTAACTACCTACTCGCTCGTAACGACTTTTTGGATTTCTAAATTAAACCTTTAGGGGGCGCATCCTTTCTAACGATAATAGTAGAGAAATAGAACGGAAGAGGTCGCATATGTTCCACAAAGTGTTCTTTTAATATTATTTTCTCGATACTAGATATCGACGGAATAAGAGAATCAATAATATCAAGTATATAGAGATATAGAACTCCGACAAAACTTAGTCTTACCTAGAGCTAGAATCCCTTGTAGGTTCGAGAGGGGCTATACCCTTACAAAAAAAAAAAACGGTATCACCTAGTTATATTTACGACGCTAAAAAGCGAATAATATACACTATAATTTAAAACATAGTATCGTACTACCAACAATGAACCTATTGCTTTACTTTACCCTTGATCTCGTGCGTCGGTCAGGAAGCCTAATATCCGTCTAAGCTTGCCGTAGGGAGACCGTAGCAATATCTAGGAAATAAGGTCTAACTTGCCTTAGGGTTATCTTCCGACTCTTAAAGTCACATAGTTTTCGTTTATCTTTTGCGTTAAGCTTCTTTCGTGATTTCGTTTCGTCCATATAATCTAGATAGTGCTAAGTCGATTGTTATTTTGCCTAGGACCTAGTGAGAGGTCTACGGAGGCTAATAACCTAATTCGTGTTACGAGGTAGCGTTTGACCTTAATAGGTAGGAGAATGGTTTTAAACCTTAGACTCTATAGAAGAACGTCCGTTACCGTGTGATGTAAAGGAGCTAGAATGTTTTAGTAAGTCTTCCTTCTTGTTTTCTTCGCTAGTCACATAGCTTAGGGGAGAGTAAAGTGACTGTATTGGTTTGATTACTATCGTACGTAGAGAGCAACTAAGCTGAGAAGTAACCTACTCACACTAGCTCATATCCTCCGCGCGGAGATTAGAGCTATTGAGGATTCGAGGATCACTGATCTTAGAATAAGGATTGGGTTAAACGGCATAACTTTGGCCGAGGGGCTATAGGCGTGTTATATCCCTAGATAGCTTGTTTTTGATGTTATATATATACAGAGGGTTTAGTTGCATAGAAGCTTAATCATAAGGTTGAGTTCCCTAGTTCCTATCGATCGTATAAGGCTCGAGGATTCGAGGATCAATAAATTCCTTAAATCCGGGAGTTGTTAGATCCGAACTGCATAGTGAACTTAAACGAGAAAAGTAAGAAGCAACTAGGCTGCTTCTGCTGCTTTTATTTGACTCGTCACTAGAACTTGAATAGAAGAATTGCTCCGGATGTTCCTCGATAAACGAGTGTAATATAGGAACGGGCATAGCTATGTTTTCTCGCAGTTAATACTTATGTTTAAGACGCGGAGGTAGGTAGCGGTAAAAGCGAAGTTTCTTCGGAAGCTAGTCGTCCCGCTCTATAGAAGAATCTTGCGCTTCTGCCTTATAGAGTCGCTTTCTCTTTCTCGGGAGCTTTGGATTTAACTAAATAGCTTTGTTTAGCTTATAGATATTATATAAATAATGTCGAAGGCCACGCTTATCGGCAAAAGCTTAGCCACATCCACAAATTAGCTCCGCTCTAGGCCCCTAGTTTCTAGGCATATACTTTTCTTCAATGTGTTGCTTTAGATTGCCACTTTTCGACTATTAATATAGTCGGTCTTCTACTTCGAGGTCTATATTCTATAAGCAAAAGGGGCAGTATCTAGGCCGGATCACTATATTTCGGTATACAATCACTTCACAATGCTATATCCTCTATGACTAAATATAAGAAGAGCAATAAGCTCGCTATTAGCTTAATTTAAACTATTCTATACACTCGTAACAGAATTTTAGCTTATATTCTAAGATTTTAAGATCTAGAGCTATCTCACGTCGAAAACAGTTATAAATATAAGCACTTCTATTAGACTTTTTTATACTAGGAAAATCAGCATATATTTCAGAATTATGTTTTAGGGCCACTCACTATCTGATTTCTTCGAGACAATCTCTAGCGGGGCAGCGATCTTAGATAGGGCTTTCCCGTGGTAGATAAGCCACGCCGATATCGCGTTCACAATAAGTTTTTAGGTCGTCCACGAAAAGAAGCATTTTATTAAACGAGAGCTCCCTATCAGAAGACATAAGAGCTGAAATGTGGGTAAGTTCGGGCATAAGTAAGGATTGAGCCCGTGTGGAAACGTCGTTGTCACTTATTACTAGCTCTGCCTTGCCCCTATTAAGGATTCTTTAGTCTCGTTTCTCTCGTACCTAGCAGTTCTAGTATTCCTTTAGTCCTACAAGGCGGAGACGAATCAAGGTTTTTCTATAGTTTAGCTTCTCGGCAACTATAACACTTTTGTCGCTGTGTGATACTTTAAGCTGCTTGATTCGACGTCTAATATCGACCACTTCTAGCGTCTATAGGATACTCGCCTCAATTTCAGCCGGTAGTTCCCCTAGAAGCCCACGTTCATAAAACCTCTTAAAGCCTTAGAAGTACTCGATATAACTCGACTGCTCTTCTTCTCCGAGAACGGCCGAGACTATATCAATTAAAGAGCAGTATAATAGATATTCTTTAGGATATGTCCCCGCGTCTTTATGTCTATATATTTAAGACACCAAGGCAGAACCATGTTTTCCTATACTAAAGTCAGCAAATTTGTTTCGTTTAGCGGTTTATGCGCCTTGATTGTCCTCACCTTCAACCATACTTCCGAGATACTTTCGAATTATATGAATAGTAAGACTCTTGTTATATCTAGCGGTTATAACTATTCCTCTCAGTAATTCACAAAACCGTTCTTTGTGGAGTGGAACATCTTGCGGGCCATCAGCTATAACATTTCTAAGGGTTGTCACTACATACAGCGAGGCTTTTGACCGTTGATCTCTCCCGTAAAAACAAAATCTATTACTAGCAGGAATATTTTCTTTGCTATAAGTTAATCCATCACTTCATAGTGGTCGGGCTCCATGATAAGAATCGCTAAATGTGAGCGACAAAATCCCTAGAGCTAAGTATCAAACGAGATAGTGTCAAACAGGGGCTCGCGGAGCTCCGGTCGCTTCTTTAAACAAAACCCTCAACATCTCTGTGCATCTCAATACGAGCAGTTCTCTCCTTCCTACAGTAAATGAAACAGGAAGTGATCGATAAAAGGAGGCCCCGCAATCACTGGACATAGTGTATCTCATTCTCCAACAGGTACGTTCGATCACCAGACTCCCTGCGACTTACTCACAATGATCGAAATATTCTAGGTTTTTGGCTGATCTGTTGAGAGATTATGGCTGACAATTTTGTCACGTTTAAAAAGCCGTTTCACGCATTGATTTTGCTCTACTTCGGCTTCTGTTTTTCTCACCTGCTCTTTGCCCATTTTCTACTAACCATAGGCGGGTAATCACCAACGAATTTTACCATAATAAACGCGCTCTATCGTTATTCCAATTCCAGGTAGACATAATCAGACCCAGTAACAGCTTGGATTACTTCTGAGCTGGAACTATCTTCAACTCCTCAACAAGCATGCTAGGCTCCT